ACCACATCGTGCTGAATCGTGTCGTCCTGGAGCTTTGCCGGGTCGTCCTCGAGCATCGTACGTCGCAGCGCATGCTGAATCGGGCCGTCCTGGAGCATTTCCGGGTCGTCTCCAAGCAAGTTACGTTGCAGCTCACGCTGATTTGTGTCGTCCTGGAGCCTTTCCGGGTAGTCGTAGAGAGTTTCACGCGCCACATCGTGCAGAATCGTGTCGTCCTGGAGCATTGCCGGGTCGTCCTCGAGCATCTCACGTCGCAGCTCATGCTGAATCGGGCCGTCCTGGAGCATTGCCGGGTCGTCTCCAAGCAAGGTGCGATGCAGCTCGCGCTGATTCGTGCCGTCCTGGAGCCTTTCCGGGTCGTCGTCGAGAGCTTCACGCACCACATCCCAAAGGCGCGATGTGGCGGCATCCTTGTTTTGATATTACCCCGTTGGCAGACAACGCACCACATCGTGCTGAATCGTGTCGTCCTGGAGCCTTGCCGGGTCGTCTTCGAGCATCGTACGTCGCAGCTCCTGCTGAATCAGGCCGTCCTGGAGCATTGCCGGGTCGTCTCCAAGCAAGGTGCGATGCAGCTCACGCTGATTCGTGTCGTCCTGGAGCCTTTCCGGGTCGTCGTAGAGAGTTTCACGGGCGAGATCGTGCTGAATCGTGTCGCCCTGGAGCCTTGCCGGGCCGTCTTCGAGCATCTCACGTCGCAGTTCATGCTGAATCGGGCCGTCCTGGAGCATTGCCGGGCCGTCCTCGAGCGCATCGCGTCGCAGCTCACGCTGAATCAGGTCATCTTCGCCAGCTTCACGGTGTAGTCCATGTTGAATCGGGTCGCCGTCGAGCTGGTCGCCCCGGAGCTCCGCCGGGCCATTGTCGAGACTTTCGCGTTGCAGTTCATTATGGGTCACGTCGGCCGGGAGGTTTTCCATGTCGTCGTCGACGTTTTCACGCAGGTCAGGGGCGCCCGTTACGTCCTCCCCTTCCTCCTCTTTTTCCCCCTCGTGCCGAATCCCGTCGCAGCCGAGCACGGGGTCATCGAGGGGCTCACGCTGAAGCACTTCTTCGTCATGCTGGCGGCCCGGCTCTTCGACCAGATGGCCGCCGAGGCCGTCTTGTTGGTACTCCTCTGTTGCGGCCGAGGGTCCCCCCGGAGAGCTCTGAGACCGATCCGCAAGATCCGCTGGTGGGAGGCGGCGACACAACCGAGGCTGTCAAGGTCGCTTCCATCAACGTCACCAGCCTCACCCGGGCCACGGCCGAGGCTATTTTCAGGCACCCGCAGTTGGAGTCGGTCACGGTCATGGCTTGGAGCGGGCTCCGGCTCGCCGTGCAGCGACCTCCTTGGCTCATCAAGCTTGCGGCCCAGTTTGGCTGGGGCGTGGCGTGTTCTGACCCGCCGCCCACAGACGTACGAGGCAGCACGACCCAGGGCGGCACCGCCATACTGTGGCGCCGTTCCGCGGGCAAGATCACGGTATACAGGAGCAGCAGCCTCGGCCACCGAGCCGTCGCCATCCGCACAGCAAATGCGGCTTACGTATCTGGTTATGGCCCTGCTCAAGGAGATGCCGCCTGGCTCGTTCGAGCCATGGGCTGGACGCAGGACCTCGCCGACACATCAGTATTATTTGGCGATCTGAATTGGAAGCCCGGCTACTGTCGTGAGGCGTGTGCTGGTTGGCAGGCTGCTACGCCCTGCGGCCCCACCACCACGGCCGGAAGCACACCATCGCGCCTGCTCGTCTGGGGAGGGGATCCCGAGCATGAACCATCCCATTTGTCGAACACCTTCGTGGAGGGCATCCCGTACCATAGCCTGTCCATCTTCACGCTCACGGTTGAAGAACAGCATCGGCAGCTCTACCGGCTCCACCACACAGCCGAGTATCAAGCCCACAAGTTGTCCTTCATCACAGACGCCGAAATCGAGGCCATCATGGAGTCGTGCGACCAGGTGACTCCGAAGCCGATGGCCACCGAGCCCTTCGTGAACCGATGGAGGGCTTGGCACGCCCGGGCAGAGCACGCCCTCAAGGAAGCCACCACGAAAAAATGGACGGCATGCTCGAGGAAACCCGAGCGAGAAAAGGGCAGCATGCCCACCTGTCGGCCCACGGCAGCCCCACCGCCGCACCGGCTGGAGGAGACGGTCGCGCTCCGGCGTGCCCGCCGCCTGCACCGCAGCTTCAATGAGCAGATTCGCCACCACTTCAAGGGCAACGTGCTGCTCAACGACAAGCACCTCTCCAAGTTCGCCCAAGCTTGCATGGATGGCGTCGTGACGGCCCCGCCCGGGGGCATCCCTACGTACCACCGTGCGCTGGACAGCCTCTCTGCGGCCATCACCGCCGAGCAGCAGAAGATATCAAACTCCAAGGTGCGATCGTGGGCCACCGTGTTCGCCAAGTGGAGCTCCGACGTCTACAACTACGCCACGCCGCGCTTCCGGGCGCCTGCTCCCGCCGCCGGCTTCGACGCGGCGGCCATGCGGGACGAGTGGAAGCAACACTGGGACCCTCCCAACTACGACCTTGAGCCCCTGACAGCGCGCTGGTTGGAGCGGGCGGAGGGCGCGGAGTTCCCGCAGAGCGCCTTCGAGGAGCAGTGGCTCCCGTCAGAGGAGGAGTTCATCCACTCCCTGAAGAAAGCCAAGGGCGCCGCCGGTTTCGACGGATGGACCTCCAAGGAGGTGAAGCTTCTGCTACAGATCGCGCCGCCGATCATCACCGAGCTGTACTGCCTGTGGTGCCACACGTCCATCTACGCCGTACAGCACGCCGGCCGCGCGCCGCGCGACCTGGCCCTGCTGGTGTTCCCATGGCGCGTGGTCGGCATCCCTAAGAAAGACGAACATGAGTCGCGCCCCATCGGCGTGGCAAGCGTGCTGCTCCGGAGCTGGCTCAGCGCCCTCGCGCTCGCCCTGCCAGAGGTGGCAGCCAACCAGTGGGCGTGCCGTCGCCGCACGTCCGTGGTCCACGCCGTCAGCCACTGGCTCTCGGAGGCCTGCACCGCGGGGCTCGAGATGGATCTCACTAAAGCGTACGATAATATTGCACACCGCATCGCTGAAGAGGCGTTCAGAAAAGAGGCAGTCCCCGAGACGGTCATCATGACGTGCCGGCTGGCTTGGGCTGGCCCTCGCGTCTGCTGCGTCTCGGACGAGCTCTCAGAGGCCATCTGGCCTACCAAGGCCCTGCCACAGGGCGACAGCTGCGCCCCGGGTGCCATGACGGCGGCCCTCGTCCCGTGGCGCCCAGAGCCCGCCCTGGGCTGGGCGTTCATGGACGACAGAAGCTTGGGCGCGAAGGGTGAACGCGCCGCCGAGGACCTGCGGGCCGGTCTAGAGGCCACGCAAGCCTTCGACAACGACGTCGGCTTCGTGGAGAACGCCGGCAAACGCCAGGAGTGGGACGCTCAGGGCAAGCAGCGGGTGGAGCACCTAGGCCTCACGGCGGTGCCGGCAGACCCGTCCCAGCCCATCCTCCCCAGGGGGAACTGGAAAAAGTTGCTCACTGCCCTCGCGGTCCTCGCCTCGCTCCCGGGGACCATGGGCGTGCGCGAGCGGCTCAGCGTGGCGCACATCCGCCCATTGTGGAGCTGGGCAGCCCCGCTGGTGGCACCTGTTCCCCGCACTGTGCCGGGCCAGCTATTCAGGGTAATCTTACGTTCAAAGTGCACGTGGTGGTGCCACGGCCGATGGTGGGCTCAGCGCATCATGCTGCACCCGCTCCTCTCGCCGGCCATCATTGCTGTTAAAGCACTGGCCAGTCCGTTCCTGGTCTGGAGCCCTTGTGTACGGCGAGCAGTCGCCGAACACTTCAAGCTTCTGGGTTTGACCACTGGCCGGTTCGAGCCCGAGTGGGGCCTTCAGGTGTTCGTGGACCGCAATGATTCTTATCAGATTCTTCAAGTTACTGCCAGCATTCGCCGCTACGACTGGTCTTTCTGGACGTCTTCACCCTCGGCAGCACACGTCCTGCGTGCAGTGGCACGCGTACGTTGTCTTGAAAGCGCACACAGTACGAGGCTTGACGCCGCTGGAGTGGCCCGCGTCGACGTGGGCGCCCCCAGCACCGCAGTCTGGGCCAAGTGGCACAGATCGCTGTCGCACCGCGACAAGAAGTTCCTCGACATCTTCCGGTCGGGGGCCACCAAGACGCCGACGCGGGGGGGCGAGGCAGCGCCGTGCCCATGGTGCCGCCAGCCGCTCGCCAGCCTCCGGCACATGTTCCAGGACTGCCCGCGCTTCGACGCGGAGCGCGCAGCGATCGCCAGAGATCTACGCCTTCCTTCCTACTTCTGGCGCACCCAGCCCCGGGCGACGGCCAAATCGGGTTGGATCACCTACGATGCGGGGAGGACCCCGGAACGACGCGGAACCATGCAGGTGGCAGCGTGCCGGCTTGGGCTGGCCATCGTCGCCGCTACGTTCGACCTCAACGGCGGCTCCTCGTTCGACTAGGAGTTCGCCCTCTTCTAGCACCACTCCAGAGTTAGGGTGGCTTGCTATCAGCAGGTGTGTGGGTCTGGGATACGTACGATTTCTGCGATATGCCATGCGACTTCTCTTCCAGCAACGACAAGGGGTACGCGTTTGTGAATTCGCCGATGGCACTTACGTCCGGGCCCTCAGGGACACGCACGGCCGGGGCGCCTTCTGGGCGACGAAACAGTGCCACGACACGTTCGGCCAGTTGGAGCCTCAGCTGGTTATTCTCCCTGTGCTTCTTCTCGTTGCTCCACGGTGCCAACGGCATGAAGCCAGGGACTGTGGTTGGCTTTCACGCGCTTGCCAGCTTACAGTCACCAATTTTGCGATGTTTCACTATGTGCTTGATTTCGACGGGGAGTTTGATTACGAGCATCAGTCTGGGGCTCATATTCTGGTGGGTACGCGTACGCTTACAGCATCAAGGTGCTGAGTTTCACCGTCCTTTAGATTCTTCCTTGCTATGTACCAGATTGATGAGTAATGGGACCATCATTTTGGCTTCACGCCGAGCTGGTACTTCTAGGTGCCGTGTACCTCGTGGGCGAGGGTTTCACGTCTTACATGTTAATCGTTGTAAATCGGGAGATGTTCAACATATTCTCGAAACTATTCTTCGTCTCTGTCTTCGTGCCTGCTGCCGCCCATGGCGCTGGCGAATGGTGAGCACCACCGCGAAGGCTACCGAGCCGTCCCGCGCTCCAGCTGCGGGGGGCTTTGGGTCCCTGCTGCGAGGCGGCGGCGGGGACACCCAGCAGACACGGAAGCACAAGGCCCAGGAGAAAGCGTTGCTCGCGGGCCTCCAGGAGCTGCTCTCCAAGTTCGCCTCGCAGCCGGCAGAGCGCCCTCCTGCCCGGGCATCCCCGCCCAACACCGCCGCCAAGCAGCAGAGTGCCAAGGCCAAGCGCCGCGAGGCCAAACGCCAGGCATTCCACTCCGAAGGCCTCATCGGAGCCATCAAGCGCATCATCCAGCGCGCGGAGGCAACCGGTGACACCAAACCGCTCGTCGGCAAACTCCAGTCGGTCGTCCAGGCCGCCGTCGACGGCCGCTTCGATAAGGCTGCTGCCGCCGCCACCCCCCCGGCAGCAGCCGCCCGCCAGGCCAAGCCCAAGGCCTCGGCGCAGCAGCCCCAGCAGCCCCGCGCCCATGCCCGGCGCCCTGCTGCCCCTGCAGACCCCACGCTCGGCTCCAGTCCGAGCCCCGGGGCGGCCGCATCTACAGCGGCGGGTTCTTTCAAGCCTTGTTCACTCCACTGTGATCACTGGAAGGGGAGCGTTACTAAATCCATCGACGACCTTTTCAAGCCTACTGCCAACCAACACTTGGTTCATGGTGTGGTTTCTTCTGTCCCTGACGGGCTCGCTGCCGCAGCCTCGTCCGTCCCCGAGGGCGCCGCCATCACGATCATCTTGGACCGCGCGGCTCCGGGGGCCAAGGCGGCGCGAGCTCCCGCTTTCGACGCCAAAGGCACGCCGAAGGTCACGCAACTATACTACATCCAGTTCGGGACACCGGTGGCGCCCTTGGCTTGGCAGCCGCAGAAGGGCAACGCGCTCCCGCAGGCGCCGGCCTCCAAGGTCCTACGAGTGGCATCTTTCCGCTCTCATCTCACAGAGTCCCAGTGGCAACTGCGGACTCGGAACTACAAGGTCGCAGTGCAAGGACGGCTTACTCAACTGCGCATCCCTCGTTCTGACATCATCGACATCTTCAGCGCGAGGCGATCCGAGGATGGGGCCATTATTAGCGTCAACATTCGGGTCGCGGCTTCGGCTGCGACTGGGATCGACCGGGCGAGCGGGGTGAACGGCTTCCTCGCCCGTCTCCTCCCTGACACCAAGGATGCACCACTGACGTTTGGAGCAGTCAAGTGGCTGAAGCGCCTCGAGGAGGAGGACGGCCCCACATTTCTGCAACGTGGCCGCGGTGAAGCGGAGCAGATGGATCCGTGCATGGGACTTGCGTTTTCGAACACAGGTTCGATTGGCATTCGTGTCGACAGTCAGACCAAAGTACCATCTGCCTGGCGTGTTTCTGGTTCGCCGAGGAATTTTACCATCCAGCAGTTCGTAACTTGGTTGAGCACCAATGGGTGGCCACCTGTGGACGTGGCGACTGTACGCCGCCGTGTCGCTGGAGGCTCCGCGGTGTTCATTTTCAGAGGTGTCAATCCAGGAGGGGTCAATGTCGCCACCACCGTTGAAGCAACGACTTCCGACGGCACCACACTCTACCTGGAGTTCGAACCGTACCGACCGACTGCAAAGCCGAAGCCCTTCCGCAACCTGCGGGATAGCGAGCTGCGCTGGGATCCCGCCCCGCCGACGCCTGCTCAGAGTGCCCAAGTCGCCGCCACGGAGCTTTCCTCCAAGGCCGACGCCAACGTCAAGCGAGCCAAGACCGACAACGGCGCCGCTCCTAAGGCCGACGAGGTACCGATGGAGGAGGAGCCGACGATCGAGGCCGTAGAGCAGCTGGGCCTCACCGTGAAGTCCGTGCCGAAGGATGGGGCTTGTGCCTGGCACAGCCTGTCGTGGTGGTTCATTCGTGGTAAGAAGGCTACCACCTCTCCGAAGGCGCTGCGCACCCAGACCATCGATTACATGACAAAGAAAAACACTACCTTTGAGGCCATATGGGATCGCCAATGCCCTAACGGCCAGCCTTGCACTTCCTGGGCTCAGTACCTCAAGCTGATGCACAAGGAGGACGCTTGGACAGGGGAGCTGGACCTGCTGGCTGCAGCAGACAAGTTCGGGCTCTCCATTATCGTCGTGCGGCCTGGTTCCCCGACCGTCCAGATCGGCAAGGGGAAGGGCCAAATATGGTTGCTCTTTCGCCATGGCCATTACGAGCCCTTGGAACCGGGTGCAGACCCTACACACATTGCTGCACGACGCGAGCATGTGGCATCGATTGCCGAGTGCTTCCGACTGGTCACGTCGTCGCCTACGGCTTCCCCACGCGAGTGGAAGTTCAAGGGCGGCGGTCGCAGTGCGCAGTCGGTGGCGGGAACGCTGCGCAGTGGCCGTTCTTCCTCGGCCAAAACTTTGGCGGCTTCCAGTCCTTCTTCATTGGCCAGAACGTTGGGGAGGGATACTGGGGTGGACTCGGCAGGCGGCGCCGGGTCTGACCATGGAGGTACCTACTGCCCGGGGGGCGCTTCAGCAGCCAGAACTCTGGCAGCATCTCGTTCTTCCAAAGCATCGGGCAGAATTCCTTCGGCCAGAACGCTTACGGCGGCCAGTTCGGCCCCGCGGACCCTGCGTGCCCGCCCGGCAGCGGCCCCCTCACGGGCGGCCTCGGTTTCGGGCGCCTGGGAAACAATGCCAGTTTCTAAACGGTATGCCCCCATTCTTGCGAGAGAGCTGATAAAGCAGAACAAGCTTGCAGCATCATCTTCGTCTTCATCATCATCTTCTGCACGCAAACGTCCAGCAGCTGCTGTGACGAAGACGTGGGATCCAGCTACCGAGGCTCGCGCTGCGCGTCTCCGCCTGGCTGCCCAGGGATTGCCATGGCTATGTTCGCCTACGTTGTCATCCACCGGGGTGTCCTGCCAACGCTGCTCACGCACTGCATCTGCACCTTCGTCTATGGCGCAGCCAGGGCGTTTCTGTGCGAACGCCCCCTGTCGTTCGTGCGCCTCTCCGCCGACTACGCCGGAACGCATGGCCACCTTGATGTCTTTGGCATTGGTGCGACGATACTCTTCGGCGTCTTCTCCACAGACCCACGGTACTCCAGTGGATCGTGCGCGGGAGTTGCAACTTCGGCTTTGCACAGATAGTTGGAGGGGTTGGAAGTGCTCACTCTGCACCTACACCATCCAGGATCATGTTACAGACCGTGTGACCGCTCGTCGCCAACATTTGCTCAGCCATGGGACTGCCGGCAGAGAAATCCTTTCCGCCCGCAAGGGCCAGGTCAAGCAAATCGCCAAGGACCCGATCGTCACCGCGAGACGCTTTGCTACGCGTCGTGCTGACCGTCACGCCATGGCCACGTTCATCATTTCTCAGCTTCCCCCTTGGGCCTGCCGCCTGCAGTTCAAGGAGGGCGATACTTACGGCTTCGAGTGCTCGACGTGCGGCTGGGCTGGTGCGCGCCGTCTCTGCAGTTCGTACACTCCGACCTCCTCTGCAGCGGTGCCCCAGAGGACGCCCAGCAGGCCGCCTCCGAGATGTCAAGGGCACAGCGGGTGGCCACCATCTCCGACATCGCCACTGTCGCCAAGCAGCAGCGCCAGGAGCAGGCGTCGCAGCGCAAGCGCGAACGCCGCCGCCTCCTGGCCAAGATGCACCGTCAGACTCTTATCTGCTAAGGTCCCCCGGGACCTCAGGCTCCTGACCTACAACATCGGGAGCTACACCAAACGTCGATTGGGACTTCTTTCGCTACTCGCTGCGCATGCTCCTCACCTCTGCTTTCTCCAAGAATGTGCCCTTCCTCACGGTCAGCGGCACATTCTACGCGCTGATCTACATGCTGTTGGCTATCATTTGTTTGTTGGCCGGGATGGCTTGTGCACCATCGTGCGGGACGGGTTCAACGTCGCCCCCATCGCCGCCTCCCCTGCGGACGCCGACTTCCGAGTGCAACGGCTCGCCATGCAGGTGGGACAGGCCCGCCTTTTGATACGTCATCGGCACGCCCATTCGGGCTCAGCCTCCGAGAGGGCGCGTTTCGACTCGCAAGTTTTTCGTGAACCCGCACGCCTTACTATTGATGTGGGGGATTTCAACGAGCTCCCAACCTTCGATCTGGAAGACCACCTGGTGCCAGTTTTTCCGGGAGAGCATACTTATTGTCTTAATGCAGCGGATCCCGGCCGCAATGCTTCAACGATCGACGGTGTTGTTTTTTCTTCGACCTTGATGGCGGCGGCGTCTGCTATTGCACTGCCGCGCGTGGAGTCCTCACAACGCCGACCTGTCCTCATTCAGGCTGCCATGACCCCCGAGTTTCACGAAGCTCTACGTTGGTCCGTGGACGAGCCGATCTATTGTGGAGCGTGGACTTCCGAGGCCAAGCACCAGTTCGACGTGGGCCACTGCCGCCGGCGCGCCCGACTCCCGGATACTGCGCCAGAGGGCCGGCGGCGGCTGGGCTGCCGGGCCGCGCGCCCAGGAGATCCACAATTTGTGGAAGAAGGCTCGTCGTGAACTCCATCGCAGCGATCACGACGCTGCCGAGCATACCATCGGCATGATCACCAGCATCATCGACGACGCCACGAGCCAGCGCCTCCACTCATGGAGGCAGCGGGTCGCCACACGAGGCGGCGCGGCCAGGTGGGTCAAACAACGACTTAAGGATCTGCGGGAAGCTGTTCTGCCTGCTTTTGGTTCAGAGACTATGTCGCCACGGGAATTGGCACGTAGACTCAGCACTTCGTTGGCCAAGCGTTGGAATACTGGCGTATTTCAGTTATCTCATCTGCCTGGAATGTGCGTCGATTTTGTACGTTCCCCCCTGGATCACGCCCTTCTTCGACAACATGTCCCACCACCAGCCCCTCTTCAACGACATCCATTTGATTTGTCTATCTTGCCAGATGTGCCTGTGTTTCGCGCCCCGGAGCCGTGGCAGGCGGAGCACGTCATCGCATTCCTCCCCGACGGCGCGAGCGGGATCGACGGGCATGCCGCTAAGTGGATTGAACATCTTCATCAAGACTCTCTGGAGCGGCTGGCGCAGCTGCTCACCGCTGCTGACCAGGGCCGTTTGCCGCACTTCTGGAGCATGGCTCGCGTGACCCTTATCCCCAAAGGCCCGGAGGCGCCGCCTGACGAGCGCAGACCACTCACTGTACTACCCGTGACGTATCGGCTCTGGGCCCGGCGACACGCAGCAGCCTTAAATACCTGGCTGGCGACTTGGAAGCCGGACGGCCTAGTGGGAGCGGTACCGCACCATTCCTGCCCTGATGTTCTATGGGAGTTGCAAGCTCATCTCGCTCAAGCTCGTCTTGGTCGAATACCTCCTGCGTTTGTTCTATCTATGGATTTAGAAAAATGCTACGACCGACTTGATATTCTTAATCTTCTGCGGCTCACAGATCATCTAGGGCTACCGATATGCGGCCACGTGCTTCGCAACTACCAGACGCTCGAGCGCATCCTTTTCGTGGACAACCAGCCCACGGACGTCCTTCTCAAGGGCTCCGGGTTGGTGGGCGCCCCCCAGGGTTGCCCGATGGCCTGCTTCTTATGCAACTTGACGTCCATCATGTGGCATTCGACGGTGCCCCAAGCGGTACCGACAGCCAAGCACTTCTCCTACCTGGACGACCGGTTTGTCCTCGTTGCGTCCTGGAACGAATTGGCTCGAGTACTTGAGGCGACTCAACGCGTTGATTTGGCCACTGGTCCTGATCTTAATCTACCGAAGTGCGCTCGAGGCGTCGTCTTTCCTGTGGGCCGCAGTGCCCCCAAGTGTGCCGAGCAGAGTCTTCGAGACATACCTCTATGCAAACATTTTCGGTATTTGGGTATCGATTTAGTCTTGGGCGAACCGTCTGCTGCTCCAGTGGCCGGCCGCCGTGTTCACCAGCTTCGCAAACGGCTACATGTCGCTCGTGTACTACCTTACGTTCAACGAGGCGCGGCGGTCGCAGATGCCCTGTCAGCGGTGTGACGCGACGGGGGTTATGCCTATACTGTGCGTGATCTTCGTCAAGCGTGTTCTTGGGCAGCTCTTGCTCTTATGGGCAACGTTCCCGAGGGACGTACTATTCGCCGGTCGAGAGAGCTTACTCATCTTCTTGGGCCTGGTTGTCACAGGACTCACTTGGGGTGTGTGGCTATATACAGCGTTGTTCGGCTGTTCAACCAGCCGACTGGCAGTTTTTATGGGCTCACCGCAGTCGGATACGTTTTGGGCCCCTTACGCTTCTTTCGCGGGCGTGCTCGACCCTCCAGATTGATTGGCACACAGCTACCACTTTCAAGGCTGGGATTCGCAAGTTCGCTTTCACCATCCGTCCAGACCTTCTTGCAGATGCCGGCCGGGGTGCCTTTCCAGGTTTTTGCAAACGGGTTCAAGTGCAATCGCAGCTTCATAAACTACGAGATTTTCTTCGGTTTGCCCTCGCTGGAAGCGAAGCGAGGCGGAGGCCCAAAGACTTTGGCGGCCTGTCAAACGGCCTCACCGAGAACCGAGACGCACGGGAGCATCTTTATGCTGCTCAACTACATTTCGGAGGTCCTGCCCTCACCTCCGCTGGCTTGTGGACCCGGCTACACGTTTCACGCATCGCCTACCACGATGGCGACGAGTTCTGTGTACGTTGCGGCACAGCAGTGGAGACAACTGAACACCGTTTGTGGCACTGTCCGTGTAATCAAGAGGCCCGCGCCTGGCTTGACCAACAGGCTCTTGGCAACCAGTTTCCGGATGGTCTTCCTCCTTGTCTCGCACGTTGTGGTCTTATCCTTTCTCGATTACCTGCTGGTCTTTCTCTTCACCATGCTGTATGTGTTTCACAATATTTGTTGTGGGTCAACGCCATCGCTACTCAGGCGTGCGCGGACGCGCGCCACCATCGACATGTTCGCTTGGATTTGGACCGGCCAGTTTCGCAACCTGTCGACTTCATCTACGCGAGCGCCTTACCTCCGCTACGGCGCATCAAGCGCGTCATCGCACCAGTTGCGCACGATATGGACGACGGCCTTCCGCGAGGGGCCAGCCTGCCACCGCAACTCCCCAGCACGGTTTTCCAGCACCCGGTTAACGTGGTGGTCTCGTGTGACGGCAGTGCAACTGTCAACGGGGACGAGCCTAAGTCTGGGTGGGGCTTCACGGTGG